GTACCTCCCGCTGCAAGCTCATAGATTCTCGGCATCGCAGCTTTGATTCTCGCCATCGCATACTGCACTTGCTGCACATAACCACTAAATTCCTGGTAAGAGAAAAAAACTAAGGCGAGCATAAATTTCCTAATGGCTTATAACTTATGGCAACTAAATTTCAAAAGACATTTCAGAATATTAAATAAGCTGCACATGTAGTATTTCATATTATGTCAATTCATATGATCAGCAAAGTCTGGGGGAGGATGAGGATTTATAACCCTGTAAAGGAGGACAGTGCAAATAACAGGAATCTGTTCATAATCTAGTCTTATAACAGAAAACAAAGACAACACAGGAAACTAACTTTTAAAAAGAAAAACTTACTATATTAAATCACTAGTTTATCTGCAAGCTACAAATACTGATTTCTCTTTTTTAGTATATCCTAGATCACTAAGAAAAAGTACTGAGCATTCTCCCAAGAAAAATGTGAGCAGCAATATTCTCCACAAAATTTCAGTTTACAACACTAAGCAAGAACAGGAGGATGCTTTACCAGGACCTAAGAACTGACTCAGTGAAGAGCATGAGAAGGGTAAGAGCAGACTAAAAGTATGCTTCACTATGTGCTTTAATTCTGCGCATCACACTGGTCCCCAAACTATGACATCCTTTAAATAAGACAATCTTGTAATTGATGATGTTATGCACACAGCAAGGGGTGGGGATGGGGACATAGCCTGGCAGTCTATGTGCCGCCTGAACACAGCAAGGGCCCCCTCAGGAACTACACAGGCACAGAGGTAGGACCTGGGACTTTGCTGGGCAAAGTCACACATCTTTTGTTCCCCTGCCTGAAAATTACAGGATTCGCTGACAGAATATATTTTGATTAGGGAAAAATCCAAAAATCCAAAAGATAATGCCAGTAAAAGCAAGTATAAATACTTTCAATAAAGTCGAAGAGAAAGAGAATTTTCTGTTATAATTAATTGAATACTGTTAGACACGATGTTGGATCATGGTCCTAAAGAACTTTACCAAGGTGGTTTGACACATGCAAAAAAGGGAAGGGTTAAAAACCAGAGGGGCCAATAGTTTTAAATATACACTGCTCCTCCTTAGAAATTGGCCAATAACACAAAGAGAAACACTTTAAAAAGCAACATAGGCTCAGGAGATAGCTCGGCAGTCTAAGCGCCTGCATGGCAAGTACAAAGACTTGAATTTGATCCCTGGTACTGTATGCTATGCTGGCCCTGAAACCCCAGCTGCACCGCACCAGCCACCAAAATTGTACATGGTAGCACAGGCTTGTAATCCCAACACTGGGGAGGGTAAGACAGGAAGATCACTATGAATCTGAACTGCATAGCAAGACCCCATATCAAATTAAATATTATAAAAAAATAAAAGGCAACATAATCTGTGGGGGGAAGGATTCAATTTAGTCCCATCAGTTGTATGTCAAGTAACTATTCTGAGTTTTCTTCAGCCCACTAAATGATCAAATGCTAACATCTCCTTTAGTGTTTGTAACTGTATCTTCTATACAAAATTGTAACAGAATTTAGCTAAGCAGTAGTTTCATTTTTACCTGATCTCAATTTCTATGAAACTATTATTTGACAACGATCATTTGATATTTGGCATACACAGCCATCTTCTGATATACAATTTGTGTATATCCTACCATCAACACTGGAGTATAAACTGACAAAACTTGTTTGAGTTTCCCTTGTAGTGCATGCTATTAGGTATTTTTCAAAATACTGATAAAGAAGCATAAAAATATTTTCTGGTATTCTGAAGAAAAGAATAATACTTCCTTCATATGTGGTCAAAATAATTTTATAAGCTCAGACCTACCCAGTTTATTCACTTTAAAATTAAATTTTAAGTAACAACCTAACAGAATAAGAGACAAATAATGACGCTTATGAAGACGTAAGTGTTAGCACTCATGGGTACTTACTACATGCCAGGAAAGGGTCTAAACATGCTCCACGAATCAGCTTCTACAACCTCCTAACTAACCTGTAAGAGATACTGTTCCCCTTACTTTATAGCTCAGAAAACTGAGGCACAGGAAGGCTACATAACTTTCTTAAGGTCCCACAGCTTATACACAGCAAAGATCTGAACCTTAACAGGCTGAGTTTCGCTCACTGCCAGTGTGCGCTGCTCTTCTAAGTATGCGTCACTGAAATGACTTAGGCGGGTGTGGCGCATGTGCCTGTAATCCCAGCCCTCAGAGGCAAAGGCAGAAGGATCACAAGTTACAAGCCCAGCCTGAGTAACTGAGCAGAACCCTGTCTCAACATAACTAAAGAGTTGGGGACGTAGCTCAGCAGAAAGACCCTCGGTTCAATTAACTAGCTACTGACTGGTTAATTCAGAACTGTCTTTGTCACTGCAATTAATAGCTATAAACCTGGCATTTTAAACCAGTGTGATTTCAAGGGCAACTGAGTGGTCACTGTCTTGATTCCCAAGTTAAATAACTCTAGCCAAGTCCTATACCTGCCCGAGAGTAAGCGGAACAGCATCCTGAGTGTGAGTCCGCCCTATTTTGATGATCTGCGCAAACTCTTTGGATTTGGCACCGAGAGCATCATGTAGCTTCTGCAGTCCTGGTAAGAGCACTTCGTGGACTTCTATAGCAGCAGCGATGTGCATTGCTGTGGGAAAGGTATCATTGGAGCTCTGTTGGGCATTTTTCAAAAGAAATGTAAAATGTTAAATCAGAGGCAACAAAACACAAACTTATGCATCACAAAAAACAACAAATGACTCCTCAAAACTCACTGTATGTAATAGTCCCCTAAGGGCAAGCAAGAAGCAACTTGGGTTCCTCCTGAACATACTCAATTATATACAAGTATACTGAATGTATAATAGCCAAGTATATTGAATGTATTACATATATATGCCCACTAATAAACAACAAAACGGAGAAGTATAGTTAACAAATGCATTTGAAAATAATAAAATACCTTATAATTATATAGTGCATCCAATCTTTCACAAACATTTTGTTTATTTATTAAACTTCAGGAAAATACCATGAGGTAGCTCATCACTTTAACAATAGGAAAGCCAATCGACCAAAGAGTGGCAAAGTACATAGGAACTAGGGAAACTGAGGCCTGACCAGATAGTGTACATTCAACACTTCATCCTTCACTGGTAATTTACAGTATAATGCTATTTTAAAACACATATTATTTTATATTTTCACCTGTTTACAGGAAATTTCACAACACTAAAGTAGGACAAGCAGTATGATGCTCACATACCTACTTCAAAATTCAGTAATGAGCATCATCTAGTCAGGCCGCGTCAAGCATGGATAACTCTACCCTACTCCCGCACCCTAGTAAACATATTGTGTTATTCTAAAGCACATTTCAGACTAACTACATTAAAGCCAGCACTGAGTTTGAAAAAACAAAATCCTTCATATAATAATCTTACATTTTTTTAAAAACCCTTTCCTTTTCATAATTAAAAATACATTAAATTAAATCTACCACCCAGATTCTGGTTTCTAAACATCACTTTCCAAAGAGATTCCCCAAGAGTACTCTGAGAAATGCCTGTTTCTATGCCTGATGCAGGGAAAATATAAGATGATGGAACTGAACTATTTTATAGTGCCGAAAAGGATGTACTAGAAAGAAAAAGATAGTGGCACATCAAAAGGACATGTTTTCCAAAACTGAGGTAATTTAGGCAGCAATATAAATAACAACAGTATTATACACTAACCCAAAGAGCAAAATAAACAATCACAAATCTACACTGATGTACATGAATGAATGGGGGTGGGAGTTCAAATCTTCTTTGCAGAAAAATTTCAATAATATTTTAGAAAGGAAAACGAAAATTGTTATTAAAAGACCATCACGTTAATTGTTTTAACAAGATACATTGAATGATAAAATCAGTGAACAAAAGTTTAAGAAGAAAGATCATACAATATCAAAGTATCACTATTAATTACTCTAGTGAGTCTTTAATCTGTGTCCAAAGTTTTTTGGCATGCCTCCCTTTGAAAATTGAAGCTGAAGTATACTATATCTGAATATAACCAAGACTTACTGACGCATTTTGAACAAATCTGATACAGAAGAGGCAAGGCAGTAATTTTATAGTAGAGAAATCTGTCAAATAATACCTTAACTAGGTGATGAAAGTTAACATCACCAGTCTGAAGTTGTGTTGCTATCTTGTACCCCTGATATAAGGCAAGGAAAAATTCCGTGATAACCTTCCCAAAATTCATAGCCTCAGCCCAAGCATGAGAAAACATGTGACACCAAAATTGACAGAATTTTTATAAAATACCCTACTACTACATTCATTCAGGTCTAAATGTCCATGTCGGCTGGTGAGATGGCTCAGTGGTCTAAAGCACCTACTTAGAACAAGCTTAGCAAACAAAGCACAGGGACTGCGGTTCAATCCCCCAGTACCACATGCCAGCCAGCCCCACCCCCCTGGTGGGCTGAGCTGGCCACACACACACACACACACACACACACACACACAAATAAATAAAATTTAAAAAATAAATAAATAAATGTCCATGTCCCCTCAAAATTCACATGCTGAAAACCTAAACTCCAAAGAGCTGGTACCAGGATGTAGAAGCTTTGCGATTCAGTTAGTTCATGGAAGCAGAACCCTCAGAAATGGGATTAGTGCCCTTGTAAGAGTGATGCTGAGAGCGCCTCTGCCATTCCACTACGAGAGGATGCAGAGAAAAGATGGCTGCCTGTGAGCCAGGGAGTAGATCCTCAGCAGACATCAACTCTTCCAGCTACTTGATCTTGGGCTTCCCAGCTTTGAAAACTGAGAAAAATACTTATTTATAAGCCAAGCTGTCTATGTAGCAGCCCAAAGGAACTGAGGACAATGGCCAAAATGGTGTCACAGGTTGGAAAATTAAAGGCACATGTGACTATGTAGCCTGGACTTGAACTTTAAAGAGAGAAGAGAATCAATCAAAAAACTGAGGAGATCCTACAAATGTGTCTTGCTTAAGAATAGTGTACCGGATCCGGGGAGATGGCTCAGTGGAATAAGTGCCTCCCTGGCAAGCTCAAGGGCCTGAGTTCAATCTCCTATTCCGCCAAAAAAAAAGAAAGAATAGTGTACCCATGTTACCTTCTTACTTTTGATAAATGAGCCTATGGAAACTGAAGATGTTAATGTTTAAGGAAGTAGAAAAGAAAAAGGTAACTCTTCACTATCTTTGTAATTATTTTACAAATCTAAAATTACTTCAAAGACATTTTAATGAAAACACAAACCAATAAAAAATATGCTAAATTTAGGTTTCCTACAAGTAATTTTGACTAAGTCTGAGACAAAGCTAAGATTCCTAAAAGAAACAAGAAATAAATCTTTTCTTGTAAAAAATACAAGTCAAATGCACTCTCTATGTCACAAAGCATAGGCTTGCCTCACAACAAAAATCTCAGGTATTGTTTTTACATTGGTAACAACAACAAAAAAAGATGCATACTGACCTGGCTTTTATTTACATGATCATTGGGATGAACAGGTTTCTTGCTGCCGAGTTCACCTCCTAACATTTCAATTGCTCTGTTACTAATGACTTCATTTACATTCATATTTGTCTGCGTTCCTGACCCAGTCTGCCACACCACAAGAGGAAAATGATCATTCAATTTACCTTCAGCTACCTGCAGGAAAAAAAAGGAGAAGTTACAAATGAGTATTTGTAAAATAAGAAACAACATTCATTCAGCTACTTCAATCAATCACGATTAAGTGAACCCCATTTATAGAACTATCTCAAGAAGGTTATTTTTGTATGCTAAGTGAATTGCTGGTGACTCCACAGAATCTGAGTGCAGTTGCTTCACAATTCTAAACTTCCAAGGCATAACTTTTCTCAACCGCGAACATTTAATGTGCAATACATATTCTGAATGGTGTAAGAATTCACTGGCTTCAACAGAAACTGAATCAAAGCCGTCTTTCTTACTTTTCTGTCTGCTCTAATAGAAGGCCACCTGTAAAGGCTGGCGAATGTGTCAAGTCTTCAGATATACTTATTGTTGTGCTCAGCAAGAATATCCAACAGATGTTCCCACCCAGGCTCAGCATGATAATAAACTAGGAACTTGGAAGTGGGAGCTCACTAATAGCTGCTTCACTGCACAGATGTCCAAGGCGTAGCAACCACCAGAAGTAGAAACAAGCACTGCCCAGATTTGCCCCTATTTTTGTCATAATTTTATGCTCTTGGCCCATGTGTTTTTCAAATGTAAGTTTCTTAAAAGAAGTGAGAGCCTAACTTATATTCTGAAGCTATTAAAAAAAAAAAAAAATCAGAATGCACTTTAGAACAACTGGCTCATTTTAAAATAAAAACTTCTAGTTATATAAAAATAATAGGTGAATTTCAGTACTTATCTTATGTTTTACT